ACCAAGTCTTACCCACCACCTAAAATTCCTCAACCAGAGCGACTGGATCAGGTCTATGACGCACTGAAAAAAGGTCTTCAGTGAGTATACTTGCACGCAGTGATACATACGTATAGCAACTCTCAGATTTAATTTTGAAGCATCATGTCCTTGACACTGTGTTGGTGACTCATACTCACTGACTAATATTTCTGAAATTGTGATGTCTGTCCCTGCTATGTTCTTATATTGTGTTACTACTGCATTGGTAAAGAAACAACTAAATTAAGTAACCCCACACAGACTAAAAACTAAAAAACTGACAGGTATCATTAATTTTGTTTCATTAATGCTAACAAAAAAGGCAGCCCTTCCTTAAAGCACCCAAGGGATATACACAGTGAAAACTTCACATCAGACTAGCACTAGTGGTACTAAATGTGAAGTGTTGGGCTGGAAATAGAGAAACCAATCCTACATGCACAACCACCCAGACTTATTTGCACACAATCACATGCCAACGAGCAGTTATCTCACACACACTCAACACCAAGGGAGGAACAACATGCATAACTAAGCAGATCACCCACACAATATAATATTCAGTATTATAACACTGACCATTAAATATGAAGTTGCTGAGTTGAAACACACCAAATGTGTATTTTTATAGGAAGAGGTGACAGTGAGATAGTTAATCACTGCAGTAAGCAGAATTTAAAGAATTTTCTCAAAACTTCAGCATATAAACCCTTTATGCTACATGGGATACATTTAACCACTTACCTTTAGACCGCTTCTGTGACTTGTGTGTGTGTGTGTGTTCTTTTTATGTGTTCTCTCAGGTCTTACCTGCAGGTTCATCAGATGGACTTGGATAGCCTCAGCAAACAGATTAAAGAATCAAAGAGGAACTCCAGACTGGTACATTTTGACATTTTACTGTTTGGTTCAGGATTACAAATGAAAAGGAAAACACCCTTTAATGCTAACCCACCTACAAATCTCTTATGTTTATGGAAACAAAAGAACTTTTATTTCTTGATTTTTGATTGTCTTCAGTTGTCGAGTGTGTAAGTGATACTGATGACTTGATGTTTTTCTCCCCTTCAGGGTTTCCTGTATGAACTGGACAAGGTGAGCTACTGTAAATTCTTAGTGTCTCATCTGCACAAAGACAGGTTTATACCAGAAACAGGCCTGTATGTAATCATACAGTAATTTAATTAAAAGCCTCCTGTTGTAAATTAACATTAAAGCAAATGCAACACTTCCTCCATGCTTACCTTACTGTTGATATATTCTTTTTAACGCACATTTCCACAGCACAAATTCAACAAGTGTAACAGTCGCATCGTGGTCACTGGTCCACTCCTCTCACTTTTGCCTTTCATTAATTAGTTCCAGACACATCTACATTTCTTTTATACCCACAATAAAACAGCTCTTTCACAGTCCAACAACTCAAAATACTGATGCAAGTTTTACAATTGAAACATTTATAAGATGTCTTTCAGTAGCTTAAAGCAACAGTACATTAGCTTGGCAGTTACTCTCCTTTAGCCAGAAGCCAGATAGCCAGAAGACCCACTGCTGCGGCGGGACCCCTCAGGAGGATGAATAGGAGGCCAGCATCTGAGGCAGGACCTGTCTGCAGCAGGCTGGGCATTAGGTTGTTGAACTAGTGAGGCTGGGACATCCTTGAGGACTTCAGCTAGGGTGGTGTTGACCTAGCCCAAGGTAGTAATGAGAGCAGTGGGACCCACAGGAGCACAGGGACATGAGCGGTGGTGTCACTGTCAACCCACCAGAACACAGGAGCAGGAGCATCAATTCCAACCCACCGGAGCACTGGAGCAGAGGTGGTGCCATCATTGTCAACTCAGCAGGACAGAAATGGTGGCATCACTCTCAACCTACTGGGACTAAGGAACAAGAGCTGTGTTGTTGCTCTTGACCCAGCGAGGCACAAGGGCGGAGTTGACTTCGTCTTCATTGCTAGTTGCCTCAGGAACAGCTGTAGTGACAGCATTGACAACTCTTCATTTTATAGGTAGGGAGAGGTACTGAGGTGGTTCTGGCATGCAGGCCTACCTGCTTGGGAGCAGTGGTGGCTTTAGCTTCTTCGTCAACCTGCTGATGGACTGGAGCATGGGTGGTGCTGGTCTCAGAGGACTCCCTGGAACCAGGACAGAAGGGGAAACATTGTTGACCCACTCAGTGGCAGGAGCAGAGGTGTTGGCCTCATCGACCACCAAGGAACAGGAAATGAGGCGGTGTCAGAGTTGTGGACCCACCGGGCAGCAGGAAGAGAGGCAGTGCCAGTGTCCTCACCAACTTACCCGGTGACAGGTTCAGAGACCACCTCTGATCAACCCACTCAGGAGCAAAGACATTTGTGTTGTTGACCCACTTGGGAACTGACCTGGAAGCACCGACCTGTTTGGAAATAGGAACAGAGACCACTCTGACCTGCTTGGGACCAGGAACAGAGGCAGAAGCAGTGTCAGCACTCTAGGAAACATGAACAGAGACAGCATCGACCTGCCCAGGACCAGGAACAGAGGCAGCAGCATTGACATCCTCACTGTGGAACAGGAGCTGAAGCAGAGGCAGTGTTGACCCACTCGGAAACAGGAACAGAGGCAGCATCAGCCTGAGGCAACATCTCTTTTTTGGAACAGATTGATGCTGAGATTCAGACTTGCCTGGTGTCAGGAACATAAAGTTGGGTGCTGGGGCAGCCTGAAGCTCAGGTGTGCAAGGGGTCTCAGGTGATGTCAGTATTGGCTATGGTGCATCAGAAGGCTAAGAGTCAGGAATAATGGGGACAAGAGACACTGGGGTGACCGGAGAAAGCAAGATAAGGGGTCCTGCTATTTGGACTATTAAATGAAGCCAGATGTTTCTTGCCTCAGCCAGGTTCAGGGTGACTCCAACAGGTGGTGGTTCAGGAGCAGAACTGAGCTGTGGCTTGGCCTGCACATCAGAGTAGCAGGGTGTTTGAGGCCTGAGCTCAAGTATTCTGTCCATTGAAGGCTGGAACTTTGGCTCAATGACTGGCCAGTCCAAACTACTGTCCCTTAAAATAATAATAATAATAAACTTTATTTATATAGCACTCTACAACTCTAAGGAGCCCAGAGTGCTGCACAGTAAAATAAATATACCAGATGGAAACAATGCTAAAACAATCAACCTAAACACATTAAAACACAGATTTCTAAAACCAAATTATAAACGTATCATGCCAAAGTAGAAGTTACATAGCACAACTAAATAAAACAACATTAACAGGGGATGTGAGAGCAGATTAAGCATAAAAAGCCTGCTTAAAGAAATGGATTTTTAAAGCCAACTTGAAACCTGCTAACTCAGTCTTAGACCGTACTTCTAGAGGAAGGGAATTCCAGAGGCTGGGGCCATATACAGCAAAAGAACGGTTGCCCCATTTTTTATAACGAGCTCGCGGGACAACCAGGGACAACTGTTCTGAGGAGCAAAGGGCTCTTCGCGGAGCGTACTGTACCTGGACAGAAGGTCCGACAGGTACGGCGGAGCGAGTCTGTGGACAGCCTTAAAAATAAATAAACACGTCTTAAATTTAACTCTGTACTGTATTGGGAGCCAGTGTAAGGAACAAAGAACTGGGGTAATATGAGCATACCTGGGGGAGTTTGATAACAGCTGGGCTGCTGCATTTTGGACTAGTTGAAGTTCCCGGAGTGAAGCCTGTGAGACACCCGCATAAAGGGCGTTGCAGTAGTCTAAACGTGAGGTAATAAAATAACCAGTGAGTTGGCCTCAGTCCAAATGAAATGCAGGCAAGGTACAAAATAGGAGGTGATGACAATAAGGAGGTGAAACTAGAACAGCAGCATGTGTTTGTAACAGGGCTTGACATTCAGTTTTTTGCTCACCAGCTGCTGTGGCTAGTGGTTTTACAAAGTTACTAGCCACTCAGCATTTTCACTGGACATAATTTTGTTGTTGGGAAATTACATTTTCTATGATTAAAGTTGACTATGGGGTGTTAAAATGTACTTGAAGTATATTTAGAATGCTTTTAAATGTAAATGACCACTGTACACACCCAAATCAAGACTACATAAAATGTATAACACTACAGGTCATCATCAACCAATAGCAATATATTGCTAGCATTGCCATGTGCGCATGCTGTGACTTTACCTGTTAGTCCCCAGTATTCCACAGTGGTGGAATGCACATTCACCAGGTTTTCACCAGTATACCAGTCCAGCATAGTTTTAGTCTGAATAACAGCACTTTGTATTTTCCAGTTTATATAATGGCACAGTGCAGCACGGTGGCGCAGTGGTTAGTGCTGTTTCCTCACAGCGTGAAGGTTGCGGGTTTGTGACCTTTCTGTGCGGAGTTTGCATGTTCTCTCCGGTACTCTGGCTTCCTCCCACTGTCCCAAAACATGTGGTTTAGGTTGATTGGTGTCTCTAAATGGCCTGTCGGAGTGACTGTGTGCGTGTGAGTGGTTGCTCGTCTGTGTGTTGGCCCTGCAATGGACTGGCGACCTGTCCAGGGTGTACCCCGCCTTCGCCCGATTGCTGGCTGGGATTGGCTCCCGCGGCCCTGTTTTGGACTGAGCGGTATAGAAGATGAATGATCACAGTTTATCCGTGACTGCTTTTCTTGATGGGGCTGTCAATTCTGGCTGAACAAATGCCATCAAACTTTGAAAAGCCTCCTCTTCAACAGAGCTAATGGGTAGCATGTCCTTGGCCATCATCTTTGTGATGAGGGCCGTTGTTTGCTCTGCTCACTGACCTTTCTTCTTCAGGTGACAAAGCTAGCCATTGACTGTTGACTACAGACTGCACCCCATTTTCGGTTGAATGCTTCGCCTTCAAATGGCTGTGCATAGTTGTTGTCTCATTATGATATGCTAACTTAACCTGGCAGAGTTTGCACTGCACCTCATTTCTCAAAAAGGTTCCACACAGAACATTTTGATGGCTGTAGTCTTTGCGTGTTTCTGCTGTTTGTATTTGACACTGTAGTAAAATGATATACTGACCTCATTAATTTGTTTTTTCAAGGCACCAGCAAAAGCAAGGGAGAACAGTGGCTCTTTGTTTTTAAAGACAAAACCACAGTTGTATGTAAAATTTAATGATTATTCGAATATTTGAAAATCATTGCCCATCCCTACTCACTAGTAGGATTAAATATTAGTCTATGCTTTGCCAGTTCTTCTGAGTGCAGTGGAATGTAAGTGTAACCAAGTTTCTTTGTCAGTCTACCAGGTTACTACCAGAGATAAGAAAAAATGATCTCTCAGATCATGGCTACTTGTCCAATATTAATGTTTTGGATCTTGGTAAAAGAAAATAGTTACCCTTTGCATAAAGATTTGAATAAATATCCCTATAGGCTGCAGACAAAACTGATTCATTCAGAGAATATACCATTTATTTTTAAAGTTCCAGCTTATTATTCAACAGCTTTAACTTGTGTAGTTGTGCACAATAGTGTTGGGAATTCCAGCTCTTTTCAGAGAGCTGGCTCTTTTGGCTCCTAAGTGCATGTTCATTTAGTAGTACTTATGGCTTTTATAATTCAGCCAAATTTAGCAATGATTCGATCTATGACATGTATTAACAATAACCACAAAAAAAAAATTGGCTCTCAAACGGGAGCCAGCTCTTATTGTTCACGTGAAAGAGCCGGCTCATAAAGCCAACTTGTTTGCGATCAACACATTATTATCTTTTTGAACTTAGTTTATATTCAAAAATATTCCTGAACATTCTCCTTATGTCTCTGGAATATACTCTTACTTGTAGAATCTACACAAACAATGTCTAAGGTCCTCAGATCAGCAAATTTGTCAGTCTTTACTAATGCTTCAATGAGGTCAGCAGCGACAGTCCATTCTTTGCCTCCAACCGTGGACCTTTGTGTTGGATATGTCTGCCCACACAGTATTCACACAGAGTTTTAGTCAAAGCATTCATCAATCCCAGCCCTGGTTGGCATTTTACATGCTAAGGATAGTACATGAACTTTTTCTGGTTTCCCCTCCTCCAACACAGTGCTGATAAAAAGCCCAACTAGGCCTATACTTACCAATGTTATTAGTTTGAACACAGCTTAACTCTAATACATGTTAACAGTAAGATGCAGGGCATATTAAGGCTAATGTAAAATTAACTAAGTAAGACAGTTGCAAAAGTACAAGGAATTTTTTTTTTTTAAATCAACAATGCTTATGTCAAACATTTACCTAGCACACGAACTAGCCACCCAACAACACATTTCTGTCTCATTTATATCATTTAGCATTATCTGAAGACTAATAATGTAACCCTGCCACTTTCAGCATTGTAACAAGGCAAAGAAAACAAGATGCATATTGCTTAGCTGTTTCAACACATAACAGGTTCACAGACATTACTCAACAATCCCAGCCCCAACTGCCATTTCCCAAGCTAAGGATCATATGCTAACTTTTTCTGGTTGCCCCCTCCTCCAACACAGCTCTGTAAAACAAAACAACTAGATACACACTGCCTCACTTCTCCTAGTGTGTTGCTATCACCTAGTGGTTGCTAACTGTCATCACCCACTGTGAAATGAATGAAATAAAACATGCTAGCTGGGATAAGTGTGCCTAATTTAGACCCAAGAAAACACAAAGTATAGAATGGTAATGAAATTGTATGTTACATGCATTATCATCACACAGTTTATCTAACCATATTTCAACTATGAAATATTTTCTAAGGCATTATGCATTTTGAACTAATTAACTATCTTGCCAAAGGTAACATCAGTAACCTAACCAGTATTTTGAGTAGGGTTAAATAAGTTTATTTGTGCTTCCCCCAACAGCAAGTGAAGGTGACCAAGAGGTACATAAGACGACTGGAGTTTCACCTTAGTAAGGTAAGACCACCATGATCCCTGTCAGACAATGTTTTTACACAACAGTGAATGTTGCAACAGTTAGGAAGTGTCAAAAAAATGTGTTCATGATTTTTGTATTCACATTACCACTTTACTACCTGACACTGTGTTGTGGGATTCATCTTTGAATGTATATCTTTGGATTACCTTTCTTACAGAAGGTGGACAAAAGAGAAAAACATTTTAGTTCCATTCATTAGTTACAGAATTAAAACCTTTTGTTGTAGATACTGGATGTTTTTGGTAGAAACTGAAAGACTGATACCTCTATCTAAAAAAAATTTTATATAGCCAGCATTGGTGAGGGTCTACTTGATACATTTTCATTATACAACCCCAAATCAGAAAAATTTGGGATGGTATATAAAATCAAAATTAAATCTGAAACAATACAGCAGCACATTATTTGATGTGACACCTCATCAATTTTATTCTTTGTTCAAAATAAACACGCACTTCAATTCTGCAACACATTCAAAAAAGAAAGTTGGGACGGTAAAGTATTTACCACGGTGTGATGTTGTCGTTCCTTTTCACAACATTTAAAAGACATTTAGGGACTGAGGACACCAAGTGATTAAATGTGTCAGGTGTCATTTTCTCCCATTCCTCCTGCAAACAAGTCTTATGGTGCACAACAGTCCTGGGTCTTCATTGACACAATTTGCATTTTAAAATGTGCCACACATTCTCTACTAGGGACAGGTGGGGACTGCAGGCAGGCCAGTCCAGCACTCACACCGCTTTCCTCCACAGCCAGGCCTTAGTAATGTGTGCATGAGGTTTTGCATTGTCTTGTTGAAATATGCATGGGCGTCCCTGGAAAAGATGTCATCTTGAAGGCAGCAGGTGTTGCTCCAAATTCTTTATGTATTTTTCACCATTAATGGCGCCATTACAGAAGTGTAGGTGACCTTTTCCAAGGCACTGACGCAACCCCAGACCATGACATGATTATATTGCTTGTAGAAGAGTGATGTTACGTTAAGATTTTTCAGGAGACACACTCAGGACCGTAACAACACGTAATCAATCTTGCATAGCTTAAGCAGGGGTGGCCAATTCCAGTCCTCGAGGGCCGCTGTCCTGCTTGTTTTTCAACTATCCCTGCCTGACCTGCTGCTGATTACCTGGCTCAGGTGTGTTCAGTCAGTCAGAAGCTGGAAGATACCATCTTAGATGAAAGTGGAGTGAGGAAAGATAAAGTGAATTGGTATCTTCCACCTTCCACCCCTGGCTTAAAGCATCTGTGTACTTAGGTAGGGTATGTTCAAGCCCCTAGAGTCACCAGTTGAGCTGGAGAGAACCCATGCAGGCACAGGGAAAACATGCAGACTCCACACAGAAAGGCATTGGGTCGGCCAGCACTCGAACCCGGAACTTTTTTGCTGCAAGGTAGTAGCTCTAACCACCTCCACCCAATAAAGACATTTCAGCTAATTTAAAATGTTTAGTATTTTAAATTTAAAAAATTATCTATGTCAGCTGCATTAACCCAATATATTTCTGATCCTTTGTTTATTGCAACCCATTGTGTGCACTGGCTCTATTATACAACTGAATGCTCCTTAAATACAGTCCTCTAATTTTACAGCAGCAAAAATTCACTTGATGAAAACAGAATCTTTTGTTTCATCTATATGTTGAAAGGGCTTTAACATAGATTGTCATCCCTGACCACAAAGTTATCAGTCTTATACAGTTATAAGTCTTGAACAGGTCAACGGACACTGTAATTCTTGAACAGGTCTGTCTCCTTTGTTTTTTTCATCTGTTCTAGAGATTACGTTTTGGCTCCATGGTTGTGTAATATAGCTCCCTGACTGTTCTGTTTAGACTTTAGTGTTCTGTACCTGTAGCATTTTGTTGTTTTTCTTGCCCCTGTTTTAATAAACAGCATAAACACTAGATTCCTGTCCATGTCTGCATTTTGGGTCCATCCTAGCCTGAAGCCTAAAACCAAATAATCTCAGATTGCTCAAGTACACTCTGTAAGTATATATAAATTTTATTGCAGCATTTAGTTATAAGACACATCAGCTCATTCACTTTCTGATATGGCAATGATAAAATAGCAGTGACTTGACAAAGATTACAGCCTGGTTTAATTCAAACCAATAACCCAAATAAGCTTGTACTGGATGTATGTATGGGAATGCATGTAGGGATCTAACATGAAGGTTTCTATGTAGGTATGTCAGGCTGTGTAGATAAAGAAAGCTTTCATATGGCAATGCTGGCTATGTTGTAAACTTAGCAACTGACTGTTGAACATAGTGGAGCACTAAGCAGCTGAAGAGCCAGATATTTTTCTCAGGAGCTGGTGGAGATCAAACCAGAGCTAAAAGAAGACTGAATGTTGGACTTAAATTCAGAAACACACCATATGGCAAGTGACTACTAATGGGTACATGTTATGGATGTGTATGGGCATATTATAAAGTGATAACAGGTTAATATACATCTTCTAAATGAAATATATAAAACATTGGATGCCAAGCAATGTATAATTATCTGCAGGATGGCAGTTATTGATAGAAGTTGCAATTTAAGAATGCTCTTTCATTACCTCAACATTAAAACATGTCCACATACTTGGAGAATGTGCAAGACAACAAAGCTTACAGTAGCTTTCTGAATCACTCATCAACCAATCTAACCATCCATGATCTATACCACTTATCCTAAAGAGGATCAAGGGGCACAGCCATAACCAGTCTAATATTGACGATTTTCAACTTTCCAGTTGTTATGGCGCTGCTTTCTTCTTTACATAAGAGAGAAAAATTAAATGTTCAATGTTTTTATCCTTTTGTCTCAGATTGAGGAGTTGTATGAAGCCTATTGTCTGCAGAGGAGACTCAGGGATGGAGCCGAGAAGATGGTGAAGGCGTACACTGCCTCACCAGGAAGTAAGGAGGCCCGGGAGAGTTTAGCAGAAGCCAGTAAAGGATACAAAGAGTACACAGAGGTAAGACAAAGAGGACAGCAGAATGGAAAGAGAGAGGTCAATTAAGAACTGGAGAAAAACTGAAATTGTATAGTAATCCTTGTGATGGATTAGGGCCATTGCATGATAATAGCAGAATAATTAATACTAATAATGATTGAAGTGTAATAGTATATAACATAGTACAACTAGACAGCACTGAGAGTTCACACTTCTGCCAAGGGGCGACTCTGTTTCAACATGCCATAAAAGCAGTATTCCCATGATAGTAAAGCAACATTAGAAGGGTCAACCTCATAATTTTACTTGACCATGAAACCCTACTGCTGGCAATGATGCTAATATTATTATTATTAGTTTGAAAGTTATTCAAGAAAAAATGACAGGCATGACACTCATTGGTTTAGGGGTGAAATGTGGACTGCAGGAAAAGTGGTGAAGACGTCACATTTCTTCAAGTTTGTGTTCTGCTTGTTCAACAGCTGTTTGAAAAACTGCTCATACAGTCTCTGTTACTGGCTGACTGTTGCACTTTGAAGTGTAAGCAGAGACCAATACAGAAAAATACAGTGGAAAAGCAAAGTAGGATGTCAACCCGTTAGGTTATACTGGGTGACGGTAAGAAGGACGACGTTTACCGCTCGTTAGGTTCAGAAAAAAAGCAGCTATAATGTGCAGCTGGAACACTGGTATCCTCACCAACAGACTACTGTGCACTGAATGAGATGTAGCTGCCTGTCGATAGAGCTAGCCTGGTCAGATAACAAGAACTCACATCTCAGAAAATCTTGGGACAATTGTCTAAACTAGCATTACAGACTGGCCACATATTCTCAATCCAAGTGGTAACTTTATAACCTGAAAATGTCAAAACGGCTTTAACCCTCTGGCGCATAGTGGTCACTGCAGTGGACAGCTATTCAAAAGTAATTTTCTCCTAAATGCACTGGTTTCAATGGTGGAACTGCATATCAGTCACTAGAGTGCTCTCTACTGCACCACTCCATTGACGTTTATTCAGTGGTCAGTTTTGTAACTGCAAGTGAATTTCCTCTGAATCCAAGATGGCTGACAGTAAGCCACACTTGTTGACTACTGCTGGAATATCCTGTCAGACCTTCTATTCCAGAAGAACCCTAGAGGTAAAAAAATATGATGATATACAGTAACATCTAAGTAATAATATCATTATTTTATTTTTGAATTTTTTGTTTCCAATAAGTAGTAAATTGCAATTAACCATGTGTCCAATAAAGTGGACATCATGCATCATCAAGTATATTTCTGACTCAAGTCATGTAATAGCTTCACCTTATCTTGTGACTGTTTTGGTTGTAAATCAGTATATTTTTGCTGTATTTTATAGGGTATTCATTTAAAAATGAATAGTCTTGTGCAGATTAGTTGTAGTTTGTGTGAGTAACACTTATCATTTTGTCATATTTTGTAGACTGCAAGTGCAGCAAAGAATAGGGAAGCCTATAGAATAGTCCAGGAAATTCCCTCTGACTTCAGTGATGATGATTATAATGACAGTGATGAAGAGTGGCTGCCAGAGAACAATAAAGACATAGGAGCTGAGGATGATGAAGGAAATGCAGTCACTCAGGATTCAGATAGTCAGCATGCAGATAGGCATGAGGGCCAGGATGCAGAGGGGGGTCAGCTTGATGAGGGAGCTGTGAAAGATGTGCACATGGTACCTGGCCGCACTCAAGCCCGCAAAAATGTCTTGAAATTCCAAGACAATGACTTTGATGGAGACTTGCCTCCTTTTCTAGGAGACTGGAAATTAAATGTTGAGGGAAGAGATCCAGTAGATTTCTTTAGGCATCTGTTTCTCGCAGATCTCATTGATGATATAGTGCACAACACCAACTTGTATGCTCTCCAGAAAGGGAGAGAAAATCTGGCTGTGACAAGAGAAGAAATGCAGATTTTTTTAGGGATCAACATGGTCATGGGGTACATTCGGTACCCTAGGGCACGAATGTACTGGTCTAGTGAGGATGGCCTTCGTCTCAGATTAATTGCAAACGCCATGTCTATGAACAGATATGATCAAATTCTGGGTTACCTGCACTTTGTGGATAACTATACTTGCCAACCAGCAAACACAGATAGGCTCTTCAAAGTAAGACCAGTGCTGTGTGCACTTCAGGAAACATTCAAGGCAGCAGCAGACCCTGAAGAATTTCAGTCCATTGATGAGCAAATCATTCCCTTCAAAGGCCTTCTCTCCATCAAACAATACATACCAAAAAAAGCCCAAACCCTGGGGAATGAAAGTATGGGTGAGGGCAGGGACCTCAGGCTATATGTACAGATTTGAAGTGTACCAGGGCTCTGCAAGACGTGATTGCGTCAGTTGGTTGGGAATGGCTGGAGATGTAGTGATGCGCCTTTGTGATGACATAAAGCACAAAAACCACAAGGTCTTTTTTGACAACTACTTTTGCAGCATTCCACTCATTGAGGCCTTGAAAGACTGTGGCATCTATGGCACAGGTACATGCAGAGCAAATAGGCTGAAGGGAGCAAATCAGAAACTCAAGAGTGAACAGCAACTGAAAGAAGAGGGCAGAGGGGCTTGCTCTGTTGCCAAGAAGGAAAAAACCATGCTCAGGGTCCAAATACCCTTTTCTGTGGCCCTTTACAATCAACACATGGGTGGGGTCGATCTCGTTGACCAGTGTGTGGCAATGTATCCCCACAGACGTAGGAACAAGCAGTGGTACATCCGAGTGTTTTTTCATTTTTTGGATGTGACCGTTGTAAATGCCTGGCGCCTCTACCTGATGTCTGGATTGGAAAAGATGAATCTCCTCCTCTTCAAAGCTTCTGTAGCTCATGCACTGATAAATGCTGGGTCCCTCCAGCAAAGCAGAAGAGGAAGACCCAGTGCAACCCCACCTCCAGTGAAGCGCAAAGCAGTCACTAAAGTACCCCGTGAGGTCAGGTTTGGCACAGGAAATCACTGGCCCCAACTCACCGAGGTGAAAAATGCAAACTGATGCCACGATGCTGCATGCACTCGAAAGACCAAATACATCTGCATGCAATGTTGTGTGCCACTGTGCCCTGGATGCTTTGTCAACTTTCATACAGCCTGTGTTTGATGAACTGACATGCAGAGCATATTACAGAAGTGTTCAGAGATGCATATATGTCTGTTCTTGTTGCTGAAAACATATTAATGCTAGTATAATGACATGGTAATACCAGTCCTGCATCCATAAAGAAGTATGGAGACTCAGAATAATGTTCTTCTTGTTGGAGATATTTTGAAACCTAGACTTAGCTTTAGGTATAAGCTTCACATTTGTGAGTGTTGTTTATTTTCCTGTTCAGGCCTAAACAATAGGCCAATGAAATGTTAAAATGTGTGAAAATGTTTTTCAAAGCATAAGAAATAGTTGTTCATGGATTAGCCATAAAACACAATTTAATTCATTTTTACATTAAGTTCATACTGTTTTATGTTGAGTGCTCAGGAGTATGTAGTCCACTCGAGTAGACGTGTGTAAAAAAAAAAAAAAAAATCACATTTTTGAAAAAAGTGAATATTTGTTTTTTTCATGCCCTAATAAAAATAGAAACACTAAAGAAAAAAATTTTGACTCAGGCTTTCATAATTCATGCATCAGAGGGGTAGATAAGTAGGTAATGCAAATCTAAGGCACTTTAAAGCACCAAATGAAAGAAGCATAATAAAAATACAGCAAAACCATAACATTAGTGACCTAACTCTAAATGCACCAAGGTTATAATACTTCCTTTAACTGTCCCATATCAGCTACAGAAACCATTGGTTTTGAGGTTTAGAGCATGTGTTCTAGAGGGACAGGCATAACTCACAGTTTTATTTTATAATAAACTATGTGTGAACCAATTACTTTAAAGGTGATATTTGTTTCTGGGCTTCTGTAGTAGTTACTCTCATTATTGCGGTTGTAATTCTAAAGATAATTACATGACTTTTATGAACTGACAAAAATTATGAAAACAACTGAATGAGTTCTGTTAGGGTGATTTTTATTTTTGAGTAGATATGAATAGGATTAGTTAAGGGTTTTATTTTATAGCACACATAAGTTTACATAATTTCACAGTTATGTTTACATAGTTACATATCACCCTATGTGTTCACTGAATCACTGGTCAATATTTACTGTGTTAGCCAACTGGAGCACTGTTTAACATCAAAGGGACTTGTTCACTAAATCACTGAATCTCTTTAGATTTCCCTCCTCTGCCCCCACCATTCCCACCGTGAAT